CAACAATGAACTGAAATATTAAATAATGTTAATTACAAAATCAAATTTGAATTATCTATCTAAATAGTGTGAATGAAAGTGATTGTAGCGTTAAAATTGAATAAAATTATAATTAAATTAAAATAAATAAATGAAATTTTCATTTTAAAACAATTAAATATACTAAAGAGATAATCATCTATCACATATGTGTAAATAATACATGTATGTAGGTAACATAAATGAGATGAACATGAACAAAACATGTATTATTCAAGTATATACATATATACATGGTAACAATTTACAGTGTCTCTCTGTTTGCCTATCTATATATCTGTATACTGTGTGCGTATACGCTCGCATATATTGGCCTTTATAAACTTGACTTTTTCTTAATAGATTGTCTACGCCAAACTAGAAGCGATTGAAAGTAATTTTATTAGAAAATTTTAATAGTAAATTTCATTTTTGTTTTCTGTAAATTTCTTGGGTAAATCATATATTAATAATGATTATAAAAATAACTAACGACAATAATAATGGTGCCTACATTTCAAGTAAATGATACTAATAGTGATCATTATAGTAGTGGCATTAGTGTTATTATTATTATTATTATTAGTAGTAGTAAAAGTCATCATCCAGAAGATACAAGTGTTTATTAACAGTTGTCTACGCAAAATACTTCGGATCTATTGGCCGGACACTATTAGCAAGAACCTACTATGGGAAAGAACAAACCAGATCCCAGCGGAGGAAGAAATCAGGAAGAAGTGCTGGAAGTGGATAGGACACACATTGAGGAAAGCACCCGACTGAGTCACAAGACAAGCCGTCATATGGAGTCCTCAAGGCCAAAGGAAAAGAGGAAGACCAAAGAACACATTACACCGGTAAATGGAGATAGACATGAGAGAAATGAACAAGAATTGTATGGAACTAGAAAAGAAGGCTCAGGACAGAGTGAGTTGGAGAATGCTGGTCTGCGGCCTATGCTCCATTAGGATTAACAGGTGTAAGTAAGGAAGTAGTAAAAGTAGTAAAAGTAGTAGTGTTGGTATTAGTAGTATTATTGTTGTTGTTAGTAGTAGTAATAGTAGCAGTAGTAAAGTAGTGAGGAGCAGTGTTTCTGACCCCAGCTAAAGATTCAGTAGACGCCCAAATTCTAGATCAACAGGCTGGCTTTCATCGGAATCAATCACATACTACCATAACATAACTAAACACTACCAACTGATTTCTATTGGTCGTATGAATCTTCCCATTGATTTTTAAAACCTTAAATGATCAGTCTATTTTCAGCATATGTGTACTAACACTAGCAATACTGCTGAATGTTTGGATGGTCTAAAATAGAAGCACATTCTGAATGGGGTTAGTAGATGTCAATAAGTGATGGGAAAATGTAATTCAACTGTTCGGTTTACTCAGTATGACTATAATTATTTTAACGAAGCATTCAACATACATTACCCTGTTTCAAAGTCTAGACCTTGTATGGCTTCGACTGGTATAATCTTGTAATCTAAAATTCAGTAGGTGTTTATTTCAATGGTTTACCGATTAACATTAATTTATGACGAAAATGATCTCTAAAGTGAATTACACAATTTTTTTTATGAATTCTAGTCAACAGACTTGTTAGAATTTTTCCTAGTGTATACAGATGCCGAACAGAATATTGTGCAACTGTAACCATAAAGGGTTTATGATGATTATTAAGTTTTAGAGAGTACATTGTGAACTGATATCGGTTATACAACCACCGAAAACCAATAAGCACTAAACAGTTGTTTCATCCTAGTATGGGACACCTCAGTAGTGTTCAGCCACAATCCCACTTAGGATGCGTATGTTTCTACATAAACCTCTATTAATGCTTAAGATTGATTTTGTTCAAATTCGTGATGTAATATTCAAGTCTAGTTGATGGTTGATAGTTTTTCTACGTAAGTATGGAAGTCATTTATTAGGAGACATATCGAAGCAGGGGATAGTTTACATAAAGAGCTATAGAGAACTAGTTGTAAACAATAGATAGAGGGTATAATTTTAATATACAACATAATAGAAAGCTTCATACACATTTCTTTATTTTTTGTAGTTGTTTAGTTTGATTTGTTGTTAATGTGATGATTACTATAAGAATACAATGAAGATAATTACTATGAACATAGTTTCTAGTCAAATTTCACCATCAACTGTTTCATGTATTTTACTGACCACACCCATAAAGTTTTGATACATTAATAATTGTATACATCCATCAGCTTCTGATCAATACTTTTTACTCATTTTTTAATACAAAGTCTTAATATTACTAAACTAATATCAGATATAAGTTGTGTTGTGAGTGTATATTTGGAATCAATCCAATTTATACAAATTAAACGTTGTTTTATTCTTAAATATTTGTCATCGTTTTACATTTCATAAGAAATAATTACTGTCTACAGAGTAATTGATATTAGTATCTACACAATATGAGTAATAATTAATCACTGAAGGCTATTTTTAAATTACTATATGTATATCTAGGAATATGTTTTTACTCAAATGTATAAATTATCTCAAAGTATGTAAGTGGTGAACTGAATCATAATGTACTACTCTTGGCAGCAGTAGTAGTAGTGCTATTTTGAACTATACACTTGCTTATTTACTTACATGTGTATACAACTATATTTATATACATAATGCACTACAATAATACTATTAATAATAATAATAATAATAATAATAATAACAATAAATGTTACTATTAGCCATGATATATTTAAATAGTGTTTTCAGTAATTCACTCTTTTCATTCAATGATGAACCAATAATAAAAGTACACAATACTAACAAGTTCTAATAGTTATCTTGTGACTGATTGATATGATGTGTATTTTCTTTTTATTTATTACTGGCTAACCATCTTTCTTTTTCAATTTGATGTATAATAATAATAATAATAATAATAATAATAATAACAGTGGTGCTTTTAGTGACAGATTACAATCGCTGTTGTACTTACGAGAAAAAAGAGTAGTATATCATTAGAAAATCTCCAGTCAGTTAGTAAGTTCTTTAGTCAGCTACAACAGACACAATTATATAAAGTAATTTTAAAATAGAGAGAGAGAGGGAGAGCGAGAGGAAGTGAGAGAGTGAAAAAAGAAGTAGAGAAAATAATTTAAAGCTAATTTGACGTTTAAAAAAACTGAAAGGTTTTGGATTTGTATGATTCTGTATGATGTTTTTATCATTCTTTTTTCTATGTTAATGATATGATGAGATTTGTTTCTTTGCATGTGTAAACATTCACGTTTGTACAAGATTTCATCATCAAATTACTGTCTGATTGATTAATTATATTATTTCACAGATAATTTATTTGGCAGGCTATGGTCTGTATGTAGACTGATAATCTGTAAAATAGTTATTATCAATATTCAATTTTATTCAGTTCTCTGTAATGATGATCAAATCCATTTGATTAGAGACCATCTCTTATTTTTTATTTGGTCTAGATACACGTGTAATTTCAAACCTCTTTAGTAATTTAAATATAGAATTATGTATTCTGTTGTACATTGCATTGGCTGCACAGTGGGCAGTCATTAACATCATGTCATCATGCTATGCTAGTTATCAGTGTTATTTGAATTTTATAATATAATGTCTATAAAAACTAACCATATTTGACACCAGGTTTTATGAAGAAAGCAGAAAAATGATCATATGGTCATATGTGTATTTTAGGATACTCTGAGAATTCTTCGATAGTCTTCAGAAGCCAGGAAATGACTGAGTACTTTTTGTTTGATCAACATACGCCCTATAAAGTTATTTGACTGGGTTTCACACTATGATTAAATGATTAATTACTTTGTTACTATGGTTAGCTTGCTTCTAGAGGTTTCTAAAGGTTGAAGGTTACCAACAAACCTAAAAATACTGCGACATTTTGTACATAAGTATATCTTGAAGTAAAGCTTCTGTTCCTGCTGCTTTCTTGTTCTCCACCACTCGAGGCTCATGTTCAGAAGAATTATGGGGATTTAGGAAGTTGCTGGTAAGCCATTATCAATGTTTCAAATGGCAGACATATCAGTATATCGCATAAAAATTCGTTATTAAAAAAAGTGAATAAGTATAAAACTTAATTTGCGGCTTATTTTCCGGATACTTCCAATTACTAAAACGACTTTATTACTTAGTGGATTGAGTATTAATCTCAAATATTTATTGTTGGTTTTTTGAATATGAAACTCTGGAGTTAAAGACTTGATAAGACTGGCGTGTTCATAGAAATACGTTACTGAAAATCAGTCAATATCTTATCAAATAATATAGACTGGAAACACATTTTCCCAAAAGTTTGTTGACACGACTTCCTGATGGATGCTAAATAGGATAAAATCTAGTTTATCGGCTTCCTGTCAATTGATCTCAACTATCCAACATCAAATCCAGTGTACTGTTATGTGAAGTCAATGTATTTAGTGATTATATATATAATCATTCATAATTACTCATTGACAGAATTAGACTAACATTAGGAACTAAACAAGATAACGTTAGTTATCATTCAGTAATTGATTTATGTTGATAAATATACCCATATGCAGAGAATACTTGTTTTTTGTTCATTTTCATATATCAGTATTAAATAATTTTGAAATTAAACACTACTGGGTAACCCGTTGATGAGAAAAAACGTTTTCAAAAATCTTCCATAACTTCTCATTATACTCAATGTCTGTACAGACTTTTCATTAAATGACAGAAAAAATATTCATATCTTAAGAAAATAGTTTCAGTTATGACGAACTTGTGAAATTATCTAACATTATCTGTTGAACTTCCATAACTATCTGTTTAATCAGAAGAATGAATGTAAATGACAACTAGTGTCTCATATGTTGAACAGTGAACTTATTAGTTCCTCATATTTTTCCTGCAAACTTTGTTTTTTTTTAAATATTTTGATCATAAATTCTTTTTAATTTTAAATTTTTGCATTTTAACAGATAACACAAAAACGTTATTACAACCCGCTATGAACGTTACTGATTCCAGCAGGGTTGGTACAGTGTTGGATTATATACCGAAAAACGAATCCAATTTGTATCAGTCGATATTAACAAGCGAATCAGCAGGGTCGATTTCGTCCTCTCTTTCATCACTGACATCATCATTACCAGTTATGTCATCAACATCAATTTCTTGTTGTACTTCAACTTCCACTTCTTCATCGTCGACCTTTCCATATATATCAGGAGATAAAGAGAAGTTGACACAAGATCTTGTCAATATGTTTTACTGTTCAACATTCAATTCATTCGGCCAACAGCAATCAAACTCACCCCCTACATCATCCTCATCATTAATGCAAACGTTTACTCCGCAGAATTTGAATGACTTCAATTCTTTTTTATTTAAACGGCTGTTTTCAGATAATGTTTTTAGTCAAACGATGAATTTGTCAAATTCACTATTGAATTCATCAACATTTTCAAAATTCGTCCCTTCTGCACTGCAATTGTCAACATTTATGAATTCTTTAGGTAATTTTAATTCAACTCAATCATTGATTAATTTAACATCTACATTGTTTCCACTGTCTACTAACCCGTCAGTAGTGTTTTCTTCACAAAATGCTAACTCTTTTGAAAATTCTGATGCAAATGTTTCAACAACTGGATTATCTTCATATATTCCATGTACAACATCTTCATTGATGCTAACGGAATTTCAGAAGGATACTGTTGAACAACATTTTAAACAAAATACCAATAGTATTAACGATAATCACAATAATTATAACAATGATACACTTATTCCAATCTGAAAATTTCCTGTTACTGTAATTTCTGACACTTACCTTATTTTCAGGAATTATATATATATATATATATATATATATATATATATATATATATATATATATATAAACTTGTGTACATAGATGATACATGAACTGGAGGAATTCTCCGGTATTTTAGAGATCTATCTAAGCTATTTTGCCCACTTTCTATTTCTCTTCTCATTACGAACAATAAAAAGGAGTTATACAAATTGTTGAATTTGATTGCTGACTAACATTAATGAATGAGCAATACGACACGAAGTTTATAAAATTATGAAATTCTGTATGTAAATATATATTTAAGTATTGCAAGGCGGAAAAAGATAGATATGTATAAAGTAACTATATAGAAGTAATCAGTTGTGTGTTGTTACTGAATAATTCGCAAATGAATATTACTTTTAAATGAATAGATATCCCTTCACTTTCATTAACCCCTTTCCTTATAGGTTTGGATACATTTCAGATCAACTACTAAATTGAGTAGTATGATTTAGTTTTTTTTTATATACTGGTATTTTTATGCTAACTTTAGATTGGAACGTTTCCTAGGCATCTTCATCTTCATGGTCATATAACAATGTGATTAGTTCGGACGGTTTCTTTTTATGCATTTTCTATTCTCTGTATGATGTAACATATATTGCATAACATCCATTAATCAGCATGTCAGTAAACCAGTATATGTGTATAATTACAAACAACACAAGCTGATGACATTTATTTCAATCCCTATCCCGAATACATGTGTTATAAACAAAAGTTCTTTCTTCGTCATGAATTTTTTAAAACTGTTTAATAATCATTAAACCGAATGTTAGCTATGCTGGTTCGTTGTTGTTATATTTTGTAATAACTTATGATAATTCCGAATTCCGGACGATTGTGGGGATTCTTCTAATACAAACGAGATATATGCCAACTGAGTCGACGAGATTGTTGATACACAACACTTCAACGATCTCAGTAAAAAGCTTACCATTCAAGAAGTCAAAACTGTATTAGAATAACTCTGTTTAGTAATGAATATACCCTTGAGACACAGGAAAAATAGCAAACTGGAAACTAGGATAACCAATCAGATAACGGCAAAGGTTGGTGGGAAAATATGACTTGGAAAAAAATGTTATCATTGTCTTCCTTACACATCAAAACAAATATTTATGAATAAAAAGAAGAAAACGGAATGAATTTAGGTTTTCCTAGCAATTATTTAGTGGGATGGTTTGTAGAAATTAGTTTAATCCTAAAATATTTCTAAACAACGGTTGAAAAAAAATTAAAACTACTAAGAGCTGGAATCTATTCAATCTCAGTTTAAAACTTCTTAATAATGTATACCTAAGACCTCATATTAAATCTAATTCATGGATTTCAGGATTCAAAGAAATTATAATGGTGTTATTTACTAATTCAGAAATCTATGGAACAAATTTTTCCACTCCAATCAACTTGTGATATAATAGACCTGTTGAATCCTCAGTGTTATGAAATTTGACAGTATGGCAAACTACCAATTTAGTTCTCCATAGTTCCCAGTAGTTTTACATCATATATCAATTCATGATGAATACTATCCTCTAATTATTGTCCATGATCTTGTCAATCCACCAAATGATACACTATGATGCAGATATGATAGGTTTTTATCTAAGGTGACTGAAAATAACACTATTCGTAATGTAGTTTGAAAGAGTTAATCAATAATAATAAACATTTTGAACAAACTTAAAAAAACAGGTAAGTAATTAAACCAATTAAATCTGAACTAATTATATGAAAAAAAGTTCGAACCTTATATCTATATAAGTATCTGACTAACACCAATGAATCTCACATCAAATAAATCAGAGGAATCACAACTCGAGTATACAAACTTGTACTTGTTTTATTAATCCATAGCATAACTCACAGGTTATTTCAACAAATGAAACATAATATTTTGGTCTGCTTTATTGAATAGAACATTTACAAACTAGGTATTTTTCGCAACAGAAGTTCAAATAACTATAGGTGGAAGTTATATTTCAGTTTATTTCAGAGGTTTTTCTACTGAGTAGTGAATTTTTACAAGTTTTAGCTTTCGTTTAAAGTATACATGAAAATTAAAAGTAAGATAGTGAAAAGAGAAACGTGTGCATTTCTGAAATACTAGCATCAAATAGTTATTTCAACTTTTCGTGGCTAATAGACTAAAGTGACATTTTGGTTTCATATCAGTGTGACAAAATAATAACAGGTTAACTGAGAGATATTACAATTTGTGATATGACCACATTTGAAATTGTAACTATGCGCTGATGAAGAGTCTAATGCTCCTTAGTTTTCAACCACTCCCTAGACATTGTAAATCACTGGTTAGAGGATCATTAGATTTGAGTTGAATCTTACTCAGAAAATGTGGTTGTTAAATTTATTCTTATTATTATTTATATATAATATAAACCGTATGATTTTACGCCGTTCACTTAATGAAAATTAGCCCTTTTTTCAATGCTTGTCAATGGTTTGTAGAAGTTTATATAGGAATTTAATGTGAATTGTGGAATGACAAGTTCAGCTTTCACTCCTTAAATGATAAATAATGAGTTATTTTCTTATCAAAGTTAATTCAGTATGAAAGTCAGAATTAAAACAAACATTTGTCTTGTCTTATTTATTTCCCACTGGTTTTCTGGAGTTGATATTAATCGTAAAAAAAATCTGTTTTGAAATTAGAAAATATTGCTGATATTAACCAGAATATTTACTGTGTCGTACTCAGCACATTTGATCATTTTTCCGTTCATTTAGTAGATGACTGTTGAACATTATGGAGTAATCCCCATCAACAATATCATTCTAAGCCCCAAACTTTAGTATGTCTGTATTTTTCATCCAATAGTCGGACTACTCTATACTGGTTTTACTAATGTATGATTTTACAGTTACTTGAGATGAATTATTTACTGGAAATTTAATTTCACTTACTAAATGAATAGAAAAACAACTGAAAGTGTTAGACATGACTATTCAATGAGGTGTGGTTGATCTCAGTCGAAAACATTGAATTAGCTGATCTTCACTCTTTAATAAGTGTGTGTTACGCTGATCATCATTGTAATTAAAACGAATTATTTATAAATTTTTATGCTCAAGAATACAACAGCTATATACTGTAAATATTTATTTGCCTGTCTTAACCTACCCAGTATCATTTCTTAAGTAGTTTTCTTTCTTTCTAAGTCATTGTTTATTTGTTCTCCATAAAATATGTATGTGAGTTGAAACGGCAACATTAAATTAAACAAAGTCAGTCTCAGTTCATAAGTGATACTTCAGTTTTTTTTCAATCATATCCGCTTCTTTGTTCTAATTGTTACACATAGGGTTTATTCAATCTATAGCGATGAGTAACAATTTTAACATTAACTATTCTGACTACTATACCAGTTGAAAAAAATTCCTGTTTAATGTATTGGAATATTTTATAGGCCGAAATCCTAATTTGTTTATCAAAATCACTTGATATTTGAAGATGATTGGAATCATATTTTGAAAATAAATCAATTTGATGGTTTCTAAAGTTTTAATTAGAAAAACTGTTTTTTTTTAATGTCCCACTTAAAATATAATATTAAAACAAAATACGATTAATGGAATCCGGTTCCCCATAAATGAGTGAAGTGAATGAAATGGAAAACTGATGATCACCATTTTGAGAAGCAATCCAATATATTCATTATGTAGTAACGAACTTGTATGTTTCATTCTCTACATATTCATCTTAATTTTATTTATTTATTTAAACACATAAACACTGGTACAAGGAGGCATCAAATAGATATGCGCCACACGAGTCATTTGATTTGTGTGTGAGCTCTGATACTACTCAGGTGCCCAAACCGAAGCAGGCGGTTTCCTTAGGAGGCCACACCCGGAGCCTTCGATCTAAAGGTCTAATCCACAAGGCAGTGAAGCAACGTCAGGAGGTGTAGTCCCATGGTAGGTTGTGACCAACAACTGCTTCACACGCCATTTGTTCCTTCAGGATCCTGGAGCCTATGTGCACCATTGGTTTGGAATCAGGGTTTTCCAACTCCACTAGGTGGATCCTCTATATCCACCAACCCGGTTAAAGCGCCGGACATTCGATTTTTTTCCTCTCGATTTCGTAAACAATAGTAATAGCGCGAGAAGGCAGTGAGTAGGACTTGGGTTACTAATGAAAAAACTGCATTGTTCTAGTATCGAAGTCAACAGAAGTGGGCACTTTCAACCTTACTAGGGATCGGAAATACGACCTTCAGGTCTTATAGTGAATACTTTATCACTAGGTCTGAGTTTAATCGTAAAATTTCGAATGGAATCAACTTGCGATACGACGCAATGATTATTCAATACCAATATGGACAACTGTCTCACTTTCAATACGTCTGAGGCCCATCAGTCACGACTTTGTATTAGAATTTCAAAAAATCTTGAGGCAGATCACTAGTAAGCTGATTTTTAGAATTTATTGAGCAGAGATTCGTGAAGATCTGTTTGGTTTGTAAATAATATTGGTAACAGTTAAATCTTCGTTGAGAGATTTGAAGATCCTCTGTTCGATGTCTAATGGGGTAGTGGGTGGCCATTTGTGGGCAGTTTCATGCTAGGAGAAACAGTTATTTATTTCTCCCTAGTTTTTAGTGACACCCCAATTAAAATCAGTCTATGATATATATATATATATATAACAAACGAATATAAACACCTCCAACCAAATAATAAATTCAGTTTGTTGCTGATCATACTGAAGAAAACTAGTTGAATATATCTTCCATTCAATAGTTATTTGTCGTTAGGTTTTATCATGGACTGATATCCACTGGAGAACAATTAAAGACTGGAGAAAAATAGAAAGCTGTTTCCCCCTTGTCGTTTGTGGCTCAATATCAGTGCAGATCGAAGAACGTGCATAGGACTGGATCCATAATTTTTATATCTTTTGTTGACGGTTATACCTGCCAACTACAGAAATCACGATTGAATGATCAGCATTTAC